GGAATGAAATTATGGTTTCATATTTCCAGTGGTATCTCTATGTTCAGAAACACAACCTTATCAAATATTCAAAACAGGAACCATTCTAATTAAGTGGAAAAGTTATCTGAGTGTGGCAGGTTTTTTTTTTTTGTTTAATATATTTTTATTGATTTCAGAGAGGAATGGAGAGGGAGCGAGAGATAGAAACATCAATGATGAGAAAAATTGATCAGCTGCCTCCTGCACATACCACTCTATGGATAGAGCCTGCAACCTGGGAATCTGACTGGGACCCAACTGTGACCTTGTGGTTCATAGGTGAACGCTCAACCACTGAGCTATGCCGGCTAGGCTGAGTGTATCAGTTTTGAATAAAACTATCATACCCCAAATTGAAAAGAGAAACTAATACTACTGTTTATGATAAAGGAAGACTAATGAACTGGCTATTACTAATGAACTAGGTATATTACCACAAATTTTAAAACAAGAAGTGCAAAAATTTTAACAGAAGACAGATAGTAGTTTAACACAGATGATAATCTGGATTTCTAAATAGTTAAAATTTGGTCATAGAGAAATAAACCAGCCAGACAAAAAAGGTCACATGTTGTACGATTACATTTATATAAATACTCAGAATATGTAAATCCATAAAGACAGAAAGGAGATTGGTGGTTGCCAGAAGCTGGGAGAAAAGGGAAAGTGGAGATTAACTATTTAATGGGTAGGAGTTTCCTTTTGGGGTAATAAAAATATTTTGGAGCTAGATAGAGGTGGTAATTACACAACACTATGACTAAATTGTTCACTCTAAAATGGTTAATATTGCCTGGCTGGTGTGGCTCAGACCTATGAAACAGGAGGTCAAGGTTTGATTCCTGGCCAGGGCACATGCCCAGTTGCAGGCTTGATCCCCAGTGGGGGGCATGCAGGAGGCAACCAATCAGTGATTCTCATGACTGATGTTTTATTCTCTCTCCTTTCCTCTCTGAAATCAATAAAATATATATAAAAAAACAACAACCACAAAAACACAGGGAACTGGTGTCTGAAATGGAGTAATTCAATTTACATTATTTCTAATGGGAAGCAATGCTTCAGTTTTTGAACAGCCTTCTGGAACAAATTAAGTTCGAGAACCCAGGTTCCACTGTAAATTTCCTTAGAGCAAAACCATTTATTAAAAAAAAACAAAAAAAAAAACCAAATTAAAAAACCCAAATACATTGATAGCCCAGCTATGCTTCTTTAAAATCTATTGAAAACAAGTATAAAACTTTTAAGAAGCTTTGGTATGAATCACCAATTGACAGCTAAAAAAGAAATCCGAGACCTTAGAATAATCAAGAACCTTCAGCCAGTGAACAAATTCTTGCTTCCCAAAGATTTCTAAGAACTATGAGTAGAAATTCTAAATTAGCATGCCTCACAGATACACTAGTCAGAATTGCAGTAACCAAACTCATTGCTATTTAATGAGACAAGGAGTGTAAAAGATATCTGATACTCTACTCTAGCAAATTCCTAGCAAACTTAAAAAACTTAAGATATTCACGACACTTAGAAAATAGATCCTTAGTTTTATCATTAGGGTGACAAGATTGAAATTATTTACAACATAAGGCAATCTGTGAATAATTATTATTTGCAGCTTTGAAAGCCCTCTGCACCCTCTGTATGGCCCTCTTATCATGTTGTGTCTTCCATTAGAGTAAATCTGATCTCTTTCTAGACTCCTTGAGAATAATTTATTCATCTTGGTGCTGTCATTTCAAGTGCCTAGAACAGCATCCTGCATTCTGTAGGCAGTTCATTAATTGTTATACATATATCTGAGCAAAACCAGATTCACATCTCAAAAATTTCCATTCTAATACTGCTAACTCACCCCGCCCCCATAAGGTTATTCAGTCTCATTTTTTCTTTCTCTTCAACCAGAAAAACAATACTATTTCAACACTAAGACATTTCCTCCCGAGCAAACAAAAGCAAGCAAAACCAAGCTTAAAATCTGTCCTCTATAATATCTCCCTAACTTGCCCTGATAAACTTTAATTGCTGCCCTTTCATGCAATACAATTCAGAAAAGGTGAAAAATAAAGGACAAAAGAATGCAAAAAGCTGTGTACTCACTGCACTAAATAAAACTTGTTCCAAAGACAGTTTATTCTCAATCAAAATTTCTAACAGTTTAAACAACTGCTCAATATGGCACAGCACTTGTTCCCTAAATCCTCCTGCTCAAGTCATTCAAGCATGTAAAATCATGGAACAAGGGCCCAAATTCAATAATCTAATAATCAGTTAAGTCAAGATTGGGGGGAGCGGGGGAGGAGAGACAGTGCTATGCAGTGGTTACAGTGGTTACAGCCTCGGCCCTAGCCACCGATGGTTTGAGGATTCAATTCCCGGTCAAGTGCAGGTACCTGAGTTACAGGTTAGATCCCTGCCCATGCAGGAGGCAACCAATTAATGTCTGTCTGTCTCTCTCCCTCCTTCCCACTCTCTCTTAAAAAAAAAAAAATCAAAGGAAAAAATATCCTCAGGTGAAGATTAACAAAAACACACACACACACACACACACACACACACACACACACACACACGACACTCTAGGAGCAATAGTTTCCCCTGATCTCCTCTGTCCACTCTATTCCATTTACTGTCCCAAAGAAGCCTGAAAAATCCTGTATATTAGAATTGTTATTGTAGGCATTTCAGTCTTAGAGGAAAAAGAAAACAAATCTAAAGCCAAGAACCTTATTTATCTAAACTTATCTATCAGTCAACAGGTAATCCTATATAATAAAGAGCTAATATGCAAATGGTCACACACCCTCAAGATGTAAAGACACTCAACACTGGGGAGAGAGAAATGGGGACCAGCCAGGCACAAATGAGCTTGTGAGAGAGGACTGGGGACCAGCCAGGCACAAATGAGCTCGCAAGAGAGGAATGGGGACTAGCCAGGCTGAGGCCTGGGAGAGGGACAAGCCGCCTGTCCCAGGGTCCTGGGCGCCAGCGGCTGCACCTGTGGCCTGCAAGAGGGACAAGCCACCTGCCCCACGGTCCCAGGCACCTGCGGCTACAGCCCCGGCAAAGCGGCCTACCCACGGTCCCCCTGCGGCTGCAGCCAGCCCGGGTCCTGGGTGTGGGGAAGGCAGGCAGGCGAGTGGTTAGGAGCCAGTGGTCCTGGGTTTTGTGAAGCAGTCGGACATCCCCTGAGGGATCCTGGATTGGAGAGGGTGCACCCCCCCCCATGCACGAATTTCGTGCACAGGGCCTCTAGTGTTTAATAATAATAATAATAATAATAAAGTTTAAGAGTTCTTCTGGAGGAAACAAGCATTAGCAGTTTGATTCTGTATCTTCTCTACTCTGGGGCTCCAAAGACATTCTTTGAGACTATTGAATGATTAACAAGCATCCACCAAGTAACAAGCCTTCTAGTGAAGGTGGATGACACTTTGTTGCATAACTTGGTGAATATACTAAAAACAACTGAACAGTACATTTTTAAAAGGTGAATTTCATGTTATATTAATATCTCAATCATTAAAAAAAATCCCTTCCCCCCATACAGGCATTCAGTGAAAACCAAGCACTACAAAACAAATATTTCTTTTTAAAATTCAAGTTCCACAATATAATGTGCTACATTTTGGAGACAGATCTTCCTCTGAGGACTGCTCGTTTTATTTTATACTTATTTTTTTAATGGCAGAGTTTTGAGAAATGTTGAGGGTGGAACAGTGGAAAGAGCATTACACATTACTTTAGAAGCCAGGGCTGCTCTTAAATCCAAGTGCTATAGTCTGAATATTTGTGCCCCACCTCTACCCCCCAAATTCTTAAGTTGAAATCCTAACACCTGAAGTGATAGTATTAGGTGGGGCCTTTGGAGGGCCCTACATCATGAGAGTGGAGCCCTCATGAATGGGATTAGTGTCTTTACAAAGAGCTCTCTTGCCCCTGCTGCCATAAGAGGACAGAAGAAGTCAACAGTCTAGAAGAGGGCCCTTGCCCAACCAGGCTGGCACCCTGATCACTGACTTCCAGCCTCCAGGATTGTGAGCAATAAATGTCTGTTTTTTATCAGCTGTAATATTTTGTTATAGCAGCCCAAATGGACTAAGACACCAAGTAACTAACCCTGATTAGCACTGCTAAACCTATTTCTCATTTACTGAAGAAGAAAAAACTGAACTAGGTGCAAACTGGAACTTAAAGTACATTCTACCATAGAAAATGTTTGTTCTGGTATATATAACCCTTGTCTTCATATTTTTATTCATTTTAGGACCTCTATTTTGAAGAGCAATTACTTAGCCAATTTACTTGGCTCTGTACAGAGTATTGAACTAAATGAATTACACCTAAATGGGTTCTACTTAGTCATGTCTTTGGAACCCTATATTAAATTTTCAAAGAGATCCTAGGTCAACACTGAAACCTAAGCTGGGATAGCTGGAAACAGGTATAACCAGCAGCCTTCTAGGGAAGGTGGATGACACTGTACAAAAGCATCTTCCTCTACTGATTGCTCAAGGTGCCCCTATAAAATTTTAAAAAAAAGAAATTAGCCTGTTTTCAGGATAAATGACATATTCATCCTAGACAAAAATTTTAAAAGTCATTCATCCTAGTGCTCTATCTCTAGATTCCTTCAAGTGCTCTCTGGTATCTAGTTTAAATACACACACACACACACAGCAAATTTCAGCTATGGCTTAACAACAAAAGAAACATGTTAGCCCTTCTGTCTATTTCCTCACTATAAAAAAAATTGCAAACTTTATGATTCCTCCTTTGTAAACTCAATCTAAGTGCTGTTTCCATTTTTCCCCCTACTGCTTCCAAGCATAGTTTTCTGCTCTGATGGTATTTTATGGACTTAAATGGGCTTGGAACATGCAATCCAACAGTCCCACATAACTCAGGACCTCAATTTAGAAAAATCCATTCTTTTTCAAATAAATATCCTACAAAGGATAATTTTTAAAAACATAACTCACATTTTGTAGAAGCAGCTGGTAAAGTCTGTAACATCAAAATAAGTCTCTGATAAAAAAGAAAAAGTTGACCATAATGTAGGGACTTTCCTTACAACCACTTCCCTACACATTTTTACATCTCTAACTCCCAGTAGGTCACAGAGAAAAGAATTAAGAGTAAAACTGCAAATTAGCAACTATCAGGAAGAGGAAAGTTCTCCTGGGTAAGAGTTAATGCCTAACCCAGAACTCATTGTTCAGTATGAGTTTTGATACATATAAGAAGGTACATGAGCCCTAGCCGCCTTGGCTCAGTGAATAGAGCATTAGTCTGCAGACTGAAGAATCCCAGGTTCGATTCCAGACAAGGGCACATGCCTGGGTTGCAGGCTCGATCCCCAGTCGTGGGGCGTGCAGAAGGCAGCTGATCAATGATTCTCTCTCATCATTGATGTTTCTATCTCTCTCTCATTCTCCCTTCCTCTCTGAAATCAATAAAGAAATATATTAAAAAAAAAAAAAAAAAAAGAAGGAACATGATACCTAAAATGCTGGTTCCAGGACTGTAGGATTAATCATTTAAAAAGCATAGAATATAAGGGAAATATTAACCATACTGCTTTAGTATTTTAATTTTGATGTTGATAACACTATAACAAAGATGACTTCTTTTTCTTATTAGGGTTTTATCTTGAGAACACAATATCTGAATTTATGTCTTATTCTTTAGGTATTTTGTATATCCCGAAGATCTGTACTATTCTAGGGAGTGATAGCTTAGGAGTGAAGATGATTTGAACTTATTCGTGTTTAGAGGGTATCTGAAATTAAACCAGGCAGATCCATCTACTCAGACCCTAACCATTGCCCTAAAGTAAATTGCTTGAAGAAATCAGTTCCCAACGATTATAGGTGGAGAGTTTTTGATGTCCATATTCAAGTGTAGATCAAAGAAGCTCAAATACAAGGATTGTGGACTGACTGAAATGACAACTGGATTGAGCAAAAAAGGGATGAAGACGATTAAGACTCAAACTCAGGATAAACTAAGGCAATGGAAGGACTCAGACAGAACATGTGAAATTCCTTAAATAAAAATTTATTAGCTTAAAAAAAAAAAGCTAATGCCTAGTCTGCCTAGTCATTCAACAATTGACCACTATTCCAGACCACTGCTCTAAGGATAGCTGTCCCTGATGACTGATGGCTGTCCCTGAATGGCTAATAGGTATAGCTAGGCTGGAAATAGGTCTAGCTATAGTGGTGCTGATGGCTCCAGAGTGAGGAGGGAGGACCAAAAAGAAAATGTCTGGATAAAAGGGATCTGTATGATAAAGCACTGGAAATAAGCACTTTTAGGAGCTGTTAAGTAGATTAGTTTAAGTAGCCAAAATGGCTTGATATAAACAAAGAAATAAAAGCTAAGTAAGCTTCATTGTTCAAAGGGAAAACATCAAACACCCACACAAGCAAAAGAAATACCCATAAAACAACCAAATCCAAACTGTGTGCTCACATATGTACATACTTGCAAAAGTATTTCTCCAAAGTCTCTTTTTGCCTCTAGAGAGAAAATTGTAGCAAAAGTTTCTGAAGAAACTAAACTTTTATGGTGTCCACTTATCTAAGAAGTACTATAATATAGAACTTTAAAGAGAAATCTACAATATGCTCTCACAAATTGCTGGGAATAACTACGATCCAGTTCCATACCCTCACCAGAATGCAAGGACATTCAACCTTCCCTTTTTCTCTTTAAGCTAATACTACTGACAGTTCCTAAAATAAGCAACTTTTATTTATTTATTCATTTTGTTAATCCTCACCTGAGGACATTTTTTCCTTTGCTTTTCAGAGAGTGGAAGGGAGGGAGGGATGGTGCGAGAGAAACCGTGGCCGGGAACCAAACCCACGATCCTGGGCGGACAGATGTTCTAACCAGATAGCAACACCAGCCAGGACAATAAGCAACTTTTACATAAGGAGAATACTTAAGTGCACTCATTTGATATTCCTACAAAATCAGTACCTGAAAGCATGCTATTACGGAAGCAGCCCCTAAATACAGGCAGATTTTTGAAGACCGAACTTAACTTGAAACCACTGAAAGTTTGTCTACCACCTAAGGTCAGAACCGCACATGGCTACTATTAAGTTATAACAAATGCTCGTGTCTGAATAGACTAGTTAACTGACACATAACATAAAAAAAGTGTCTTATACCCAACAAATATACCCAACAACCTGAGTAAGGTAAACGATTTTGACACACTGAAAATTCTAAGCCTGTCACTGACGGAGGAAAGTCCAAGTCCCACTTAAGAAAGGGAGCACACAAATTAATGTGATTTCCTACCCATGTCAAATGAGGTACTCTAACTTTGTGACATTTTGGGCACTTTACAAGCTTACAAAATGCGAAGGGTGAAAAAGATCTTTGTATTGATAGCCAACAGTTTCTGTCGGATCACAAGACTGCAATGCATCTTGGGATTCCTTTAGACCGGTCGGTGCCACAGATATTTAACACGTAATTACAGTTTCAATAATAGAAGTTGCAGCAAGAGACGCTCTCTCCTAGGCCTCTGGGTGAAGAGAAAACTCGATTCGTCCTCCCCAACTCCTCGGACCTTTCAACGCCCACCTACAGACTCGGGATTCCATCTGTCCTCACTTCTAGGCCTCGTGTTACTGCCCTGCCGCCGCCCCCTCTCCGTTCCATACGGTTCCCGGCTTAAGTGGGTAACTGGGGCCCAGAGCCCGGCTCCAAGCCCCGGCCGTGTCCCAGCGCGCTTCTCCGCCCCGCCCGGCCTCGCGCGGCCACCCATGAGACGACTCCCGGCCCGGGC